ATATAACTTAGAAGAGGTATGCCGTAATCTAAGCTATACCATATTTGAAAGGTAGGTGAATGACGATTCACCAATTTCCACCACGAAAACCGAAATATTAGATATTAGGTTTTATTGGTTTTTAGAAATTCCTAGATTCTTTGAGATTCAATGAACTTTTCAAAGGCATGTTTCAATCTCGAGAGTGCCCTCCAAGTTTTGTGACTGGGATACCGAGGATCACAAAACGAGGTGTGAAGTAACCATGCAAATCACTTGGTACCCTTAAAGTTTATCACTCAATCGATGTGCCGGTAAACCACACACGCTCCACCGATACTATAATAAACCTTAAGTCACCCTTTACCTACCTTGTTAAGTCCAAGTTAGTGTGCCGGTTAACCACACACGCTCCACCAACGACTTAGACAAAGTGTAAAGTGTAATTTCATGGATTAGCACCTTATTCACATTTTCCTAAAGTAACTAAGATTGGGAATTTAATAAAACATTTAGTTACTTTATAATATTCATCATACTTTGAATGAGAGTTTATAAGTCCTTGTCTTACCCGTTCGGCTAACGACCCTCCACCAGTCAAGCAAGCGGTGGGTGAGAGTAGACACCCATTAAGTCACCATTTTATAGGCAACAACCTTATACCCACCTTATAGACCGGCTTCGTGAATGAGGCGTACTAGCGGTAAGACGACTTTATTCTTATACATACATATATATATATATATATATATATATATATATATATATATATATAATTATTAAATCATCATAATATAAGTATAAGGGTTGAATTTTAACTTTTAAAATTCTAGGGGTTGGAACTTAAAGTTTTAACTTAACTTTACTTGTTCCAAAACTTGAGGGCAAGTTTTGTAACTTTCAAAACTTTTCATTTCTTGTAACTTATGAGTTTAATAGAGTAATAAAATGAAGACTCTTCATTTTTCTAACTCTTGTGTTTGTTTTAATGGTTTTAATTCAAGTGTGACTCTTGGTTTTCCATAACTTGAGGACAAGTTATGGACTCCATTAAAACACATTATGATCAAGAATTAATCTACCACATAGGTTACAAATAATTCCTATGATCATCTAAAACATCATAAGAACAAGAACATGAATATGAACATTCATAAATCAAAAATTACACTTAAAACTTTGTAATTTTGATAACTAGTTGTTGTAAATGAATTATCAAAGACATTACACCATCTAAAACAAGTTTTTCAAGTACCAAAAAGTTTAGGGTAATGTTTCTAATTCATTTCCAGCAACTAAATCGAAATTCTGCAATCAGTCGACCCTACTCGCCGAGTGCATGAACTTACTCGCCGAGTTGGTTGAAGATACACATGAACTCGACGAGTCCCTCTTATGGACTCGACGAGTCCATTCGTAGACAGCAAGATTTTCGACTTTTTTTCAACTTTTAAGCACAAATAAAAAACAAACAAGCCTAGGCTCTGATACCACTGATGGGTTTTGAGCATTCTAACACTTCCTAAGTGTACATGCAACCCTAATAACCTTGGATCTATGTTTGTCTAATTATCATGCAAAGTTGAATTCCAAGGTTATATTCCTATCTAGCATACATGGGGAACAATTTTAACTTAAAGTATAGATAGAATAACTTACCTTGTTGTTGTTTGTGTTCCTTGAAACCTTGTGAGCCTAGCACCCCAAGTGTGATGCCTCAAATGCTTCACACAACACCAAATGCTCTTGGAAGAACTTATGAGAGAACACACACTTCTCAAAAATCGGCCAAGCCCTCTTGTTTCTTAGTGTAGCCGATTTTAGGTGGAGAACATGTTTCTTATATAGTGTTGACACATCTAGGGTTAAACCCTAATGTGTCATGACTCTTCATTTCCATGACCCATGGGTTTGTAACTCCCATGGAGCATCCATGGAGCATCCTATGGGTGGAACCCAACTTGATAATCCATGGAGCCTCTTAGCCCACTATACAAGATATGGATGATTTACATAATCAACCCATATATTTAATTAGTTATCTTTTGATCACATAATTAATTCTAAATTAATTCTTGATCAAACTAATCAAATAATATTATTAATATATTAGAACTTATAATATATTAATAATCTCCAAGTGTTATTTCTCTCATTTAGTCTATCTAATTGCACGGTGCCATGCAACCCAAATGGACCATGCCGGGTCGGGTCAAGTACATACCAAAAATAGTTATGGACTTAGACACCTTATCCAACATAGTCAACTATGGACTTTAGAGACCATGGATGGGTAAAATGGTCTTTTCACCCTTTTTAAGATTTAGTGGAGGAGTTAGCTTAGCATCTCGGAGTGGTTATTATAAATTGCTTATTAGAGATAAATATATTAGGTAGGCGGAGTCTAGACTATTTATGGGGTGCTAGATCTACTTGCTTACTTCTGAGGTGAGTCTTCACACTATAATTACCCGAGTGGTAATACTGTGTGACCGAAGGGTCTTATTAAGTTATTGACCGGAGGGTTATATGTGTTTATACTGAGTTATGTGATATTATGCATTTTGTCTTTGTGATATGTGCTATATTATTCTATGTTTTACTGAGATTGGACCTGAGGGTCCGAATCGAGCTGTGAGACGGGAGGGTGTTCATTGAGATATAAGATTGTAGGGTCCAACCTGAGCTGTGAGACCGGAGGTTCCTCATTGATACACATGACAGGAGGGTCCACACCTAGCCGTGAGACCGAAGGTTCCTCACCGAGACACATGAGATCGGAGGGTCCATGTCGAGTTATAGCCATGAGAGGCTTATTATTTGTATATGTGATATTTTGGGGAACTCACTAAACTTCATGTTTACCGTGTTGTGTGTTATGTGTTTCAGGTTCTTCTCAGGATCGCGAGAAGGTGTCGACTTGATTGTACGCACCTGTTTGAGACTATGTTGAGGATTCTGGGATATTATCTATTGTTTTGTTGAATTGTGTTTTTGACATTTGATACATTGTGGTTTGAGAAAATGTTATACTAATTTTATGTGATTTAAAAATGAAAATTTTGTTTGAATATTTAATGTGTTGCAAATTAATGACAACAGTTGGATGAGATGTAATAAGTGTCCATAGAAGAAAGAAATGGTAAAGGTGACATCTTTAAGGAAGGAATCCGTTAGATGAGTCAGAAAGCGGTGTGGGTGAAGTCAATGGGAGAAAGAAAGCATGATGGGGTTTGAGTAAGGTAATATAGTTTTATTATTTCTTTTATATATTACAATAAAAAAATCTGATACTTAAAATTAGTGTGAAATCAAAGCATGGGAAAAGTAATAATTAGATCACAATTAAAAATAAATTGAAACCACATGTATCAATAACATAATGCTTGAAAACTACATGGATACATGGTGTAATTACATTGCTAATAATTGTTTTGCAAGTAAGACTTTTTGGAAAAGGTTAGGTGTAAAAGTCTTCATGGAAAATGACAAGATAAGACTAGAAGATTTCCTTGTATGAGACTAATTGCAACATATAAATGCCCATGTTATATTCATTTTTAGGTTGTGCTTTAGAGATGTAGTTAGAGAGTTATGAGTTGAACTAATCTTATTTAGATTTAGATCTTGATCCCCTTTTAGTAATCCTCATGATAATCAAATACATCTTTTAACACCGAATCATCTTGTTGATTGTGTTGATCTTACATTATGCATGTCAAATTCGAGTTTTATTTCCTCACAATTGGAAGCTTGGGAAGGATTTATTGAAGTTAGGTATAGCATTTTTTTGGTCTTGTGTTGAACATTTTGGTGAATTTACTCTGTGTATCGGGGGTATTTGATTGATTCGACTTTGATTCTTCTTCATCGAATTTGGTTGAGAATAGAGATTTTGACTTGTTACATGGCATTTTTGGGTGTTCGTGTCACTAGCAAATTTTCTTCGAGGAATATCTGAGGACTAATGTGACATTAAGGGAGGGTTCTTCATGTTTTAAAGTGATTCATATTTTTGGTTTTGAAGTGAATTTTTATAGCGGTTTGAATTATTTCTTATTTTTGGGATTACTTTTGAAGCTTAAAGATAAGTTTTTTCCTTTGGAGCTTGGTTGTGTGATGACTCATATCCTATAACCCAGTTTTGAAGACTGCTAAAGATTTGAGATTCTTGAATCACTTCGATATTCATTATCACAATTGGAATTCATATCATCTATATGCTTTTTGTGTATATAGCTCTTCATTGAAAATGACAAAAAAAAAACCTTGGAACATTCCCGTTATGACACGTGGTTATGCTTGAAGGATGTAATCCATAGAGGGTTATGAGTTAAATTAATTTGATGTATTTAGATCATTTTTTGTAATTCATCATGATAATCGAATACATCTTTTAAAATTAAAATCATCTTGTCGATTGTTTTGATCTTACATTCTGATGTCAAATCTGAGTTTTATGTCCTTGCAAAAACCATATGGACAAATTATGCAATTATACATGATTAAGAAAATACTAAAAAAAAAAATCAATCAATCAAAGTAAAATAAGACCAATCTTTACTATATAGTTTGACAAAATTTTTTTATCATAAACCTTATTTTCAATTCAGAAAAAATCATTATTAAATATGATTTGTAAAAATACATAACAAATTGTTTCGGCACAATGTAATTTTTTTCAAAAAAATTCTGACATAATGTAATTTTTAGATATTTACTATTATCTTAGATGGATTTTGATATACATCAAATGCTTATCTTGATTAAAGTTTTTAACGATCGTCATTAGAATGGCAAATTTGCTATACAATTTCATAACTTCTTGATCCATCGTTTTTTAATAAAGTCAAATAACCAAAGAGTTTAAGAATTCTAAAATATTATACCTAACTAAAATTTTGAGCTGGACTTGTTCCACCATTTTCTACGAATTCATTATGAGAACCAACATAAAGTTTTCAATACGCGAATCAATAAACTCAAGACACAGTTCTGTTGGAGTTTGTAATTTTGAAAGAATGAAAACCCTCCATGGCCATGGCAGCACATTCATGTTCATATTCTCACTCTTCTTCCACCCTTTCCTCCCTCTAGCTATTGACACCATCACACCCACACAACCCCTCATCGTCAACCAAACTCTAGTCTCTAATGGTGAAGCTTTCGAGTTGGGTTTCTTCAATGCAAACAATGGTAGCTTGTATATAGGAATTTGGTATAAACAAATAGAGCCGAGAACAATTGTGTGGGTAGCTAATAGAGATAACCCCATTACTTCATCCTCCGGTAACCTAACCATCATCAGCAACGGCAACATGGTGCTTGTAAATCAAACGGGAACTGTCGTCTGGTCGACAAATCAATCTACAGTACTGGTGGCAAACACGGTGGGACAGCTTTTAGACAACGGTAACTTTGTGCTTCGTCGGGAAAACGATGAGAATCCGGAAAATTATATCTGGCAAAGCTTTGATTATCCGACTGATACTCTATTGCCGGAGATGAAACTTGGGTGGGAGAGGAAATCTGGAATTACTCGGATTTTGCGGTCATGGAAGACGAACGATAATCCGGCGACAGGTGATTATTCTCTTATGATCTCCGTCCGTCAGTTCCCGGAGATTTTGCTTATGCACAACCAAACGACAACTTATCGGAGTGGGCCGTGGACTGGAAGAAGGTTCAGTGGTGTACCGGTGATGAAAGGGATGAGTATAATGCAGTTTGACTTTCCCGATAACTCCGATGAGATTTTTTATTCATTTAAAATGCTGAATAGTTCAATTTATTCGCGATTGGTTATAAATTCTTCTGGTATGGAACAAAGATTGGTTTGGGCAGAAACAACAAAAACATGGAGTGTGTACTGGTCTTTCCCCGGAGATTGCGATCACTTTGGTGAATGTGGTCCATCTGGCATTTGTGGTGCAAACACTGCACCGATATGCAGTTGTCCGACTGGATTCCGGCCGAAAAACAAACAAGGATGGGATCTCCGAGTTGGTTCGGAAGGGTGTGTTCGGAGCTCGGACTTGGATTGCAGGTCGGATGGATTTCAGCTATTGAAGAACATGAAACTGCCAGAGACTTCGAAAGCTTTTGTAGATCAATCGATAAATTTGAGAAAGTGTCGTGAGATTTGCAGAAGGAATTGTTCTTGTGCTGCTTACGCTAATACGAAGCAGACGAATCTCAATGAAGGCGGATCGGGTTGTGTGATTTGGGAAGGAGATCTCATTGATATGAGGCAGTATGCTGATTCGGATGATGGTGGACAAGATCTTTACGTTAGAGTTGCAGCTTCTGATTTGGGTAATTTTTCTTAATATAATTGATTTTGCTGTTAAAGAAAGTATTAGTTTGGTGTTGAATTTTATAATTTAAGATATTAATAAGTATGAATTTGTTTATTGCAGACCGGAGTTCCAAAAATTGGTTCCACGACCAAGTTGGCATGGTTGTCGGCACCAGCATAGGTGCATGTGTGGTGTTGATAGTACTCATGATACTCGTCTACCTTAAGATGAAGAAAACTATATCCTTGAAAAAAGTAATGGATAGAAAAGGTAATTCTGACTTTTAAGAGTCAAACACCATATATAATTTTAGAATTAGCAAGTATAGTTCAAGTAACATAGAAACTAATTCATAATCATATTAAACCATAAAAATATTTACCGATGAAAGTAGTTTCAGCTAAAAACTTAAAAGGTGGATTGAAGTGTTAAAGGTTTGACTTTTAAAAGTCAAAATACATTGTGATTATTTGTGCTTGTATATTTTGTTATGATCCAAATTAGGTCCACAAGGAAGAATTGGAGATTTCTTAGTAAATGATGGGCCTATTAGTAGAAGAAATAACCATGGCGAAACTGACATGGATGAACTCGAGTTACCCTTGTTCGATTTTACGACCCTATCAATCGCAACAAATAACTTCTCGGACACAAATAAACTTGGGCAAGGTGGATTTGGGTGTGTTTACAAGGTAAAATACTTGTAATATATGAATATTTGGGTATTCAAGAATAGCTTATTATGAAAATCCGTTCATAGATAATCTACAAATTGAAATATTGATTTTTAGTATTTTTTGAAATTTTGATTATGTGAAAATTCGAATTTCACATACATTTTTTATGTACTATTACTTTTTTTTTCTAAGTGGATAATTAAATATAATGGTTTTAGGTTAATATCATCGATGAGTAATTAACTACTAGTTTTTTTCTTAAAAAAAACATCATTGTTTTTTTTAAATAACAAACTAACTAATTAGTTCTAAATAGTCACTTATGTCTCCACTGAGAATTGAACAATGACCTCTTATTTGAGAGATTCATTCCTTACTACTAGGCTGTTAACCCTTAAAAAATGAACATGCGTTCATATTACTTTCCTTCTTATAATATTTTTTTAAAATGATTATTTTCTGAAGAAAAAAACTATAATATGTTACTAATCTATGTATTCATTTTAAGCGTAAAAAAATATAATGTAAAAATTAGTAATGAGATTATTGGTTATGAAGGGTACATTAGCGAACGGTGAAGTTGTGGCAATAAAAAGGCTCTCAAGAGTTTGTGAACAAGGGATAGAGGAACTAAAAAATGAGGTTAGATTGATTGCGAAACTGCAACACCGAAACCTTGTTCGAGTATTAGGTTGTTGCATAGAGGTTGAAGAGAAATTGTTGATTTATGAGTTTATGGAAAACAAAAGTCTTGATATGTTTCTTTTTGGTAAGTTCTTAACATGCGTTTATTTTTTCTTTTGATTCAAGAGTTTTTTCCGCCAAAATCTAAATGTTTTTCTTAAAATCATTATAGAGAAAGATAAAAGCCTAGAACTCAACTGGAAAAAACGAGTGGATGTTATACGTGGGATTGCACGAGGGCTTCTTTATCTTCATCAAGATTCGAGATTTACAATCGTCCATCGAGATATGAAAGCGAGTAATGTTTTGCTTGATAAGGAATTGACCCCGAAGATATCAGACTTTGGTATCGCAAGGATTTTTGGGAACGATCAAACAGAAGCAGCAACAAACATAGTGGTTGGAACATAGTAAGTTTCGTTGAATATATATATATATATATATATATATATATATATATATATATATATATATATATATATATATATATATATATATATATTCACACACACGATATAATATTCTTTTAGCCAAACTTACTGTTATTATTTTTGTTAAACTTTTGTAGCGGTTATATGTCACCTGAATATATGATGAACGGATATTTCTCAACAAAATCTGATGTTTTTAGCTTTGGGGTTTTGATTCTTGAGATAGTGAGCGGTAAAAGAAATAGAGGATCATCCAACACAGCTAGTCAACTTAACCTTCTTGAACAAGTAAGTACTATTCGGATTACTCTCTCTAGTAACTAAAACTAAGTGGTCACCATTAAAAAATGTTGATAAAAATTATTTACTAATTAACCACATTTTATAATTACAAGGATACATTAAAATTCATCGGTTTTTTTATTAAATAAAGACCAATATATATATATATATATATATATATATATATATATATATATATATATATATATATATATATATATATATATATATATATATATATATATATAGGTTCAGGTTCATTTGAGACCATGCTAATTTTGTGAGACCGTGAGACCAAATTTAAAAGTAATTTTAAAATGAAAAATAAATGGAAAAATCCAAAAATTCATTTTTTAAATATTATTTTCGGAACTTGAATTAACTAAAAAAAATCCCTTATTTTTTTTAAAAATACGTGGAATATTCTAAATAGAATATTACACTGACATATTCTAAAAAATAATTTTAAAATACAAAATAAATGAAAAAATCTAAAAATTATTTTTTTAAATATTATTTTCGGAACTTGAATTAACTAAAAAAAATAAAAAAAAATCTTATTTTTTTGAAAAATACGTGAAATATTCTAAATAAAATATTACACTGTATATATTCTAAAAATAATTTTAAAATGCAAAATAAATGGAAAAATCAAAAAATTCTTTTTTAAATATTATTTTCGGAATTTGAATTAATTAAAAAAAATTAAAAAAAAATAAAAAAAATAAAAAAATGCGTCTCACGGTCTCACAAAATTAGGTCGTCTCAAATGAACCTATATATATATATATATATATATATATATATATATATATATATATATATATATATATATATATATATATATATATTGTTAAAAAAACATATACATACACTCACGATTAATTTCATTTAGGTCCTTGTTAAATTATTGTATTTATATTGAAAACAATATTTTTAGGCATGGAAGTTATGGAACGAAGTCAATACTTTAGAACTACTAGACAAATCTATCGGGTCCAAATTTTCAGAAAATGAAGTATTAAGGTGCATACAGATTGGACTGTTATGTGTTGAAGAACAACCAGAAGATCGACCAAATATGTCAAAAGTGATGCTGCTACTAAGCAGTGAAACTGTACGAATGCCACGACCAAAACATCCTGGAATCTTCATTAGGAATAGAAATCTTGAAACAGTAACTCCTGGAAAACCCGATGATTCCATGAGCATAAATGAAATCACAATAACAACACTAGATGGTAGATAGCGAAATTAAGTTAGTTACCATTTAGCAATACCGATTGTTGTATATAATATTATACGGAGGTTTGTAATTAGTGTCTGACGATGGTTTTCAATTTATTTATTGTAAAATGTGAATTTTAGTACAAATTCAAATTACGTTCATAAAATAGATTTCTATATAAATATCCTAACAAGTAACTATAATGATAAACTCATAATCACTTCTTATTCATTTATGTCTTATCAACAGTCATCGGCTTCATGTTTTGTTTTGAACTTGTCTTTCAAGTGAATAATAAATAATTCGCAAACACTTGAAAGATGGACCATGAGCAGTAAATATTAGAAATAAATATCAAGAATAATTTTAAAAGTTTTGAGCTTAATTCGGTCCCAATAACATATGCATTAGTTGTTGATACATATGTTATCGGTCTTGTATTATAAAATTTCTTATTATTAAAGTATTATATTTTGAAAATTTATCCAATTAGAACATTGTACTCTACTTGCTCCCTTGTCATGTGCCAAAGTTGGTGGCACTCTAATCGGATTAATTTGGATGTGCATGGTGGTGTTTCTGTTGCTGCTATATTTATAATTCTCCCATTGTATCACGATCAGTTCAATGCTATTCTTGGGGTTTGTCCTTTCTGATGCTTTTCCAATCACCATACCTTCTTCTCCAAGTACTCAAAGCGCACTCTTTTAGCTCACACACTCAAGAAATAGGTTAGGGTTTAGGGAAAAAATGGCTCATATCTATGGAGGCTGAGGTAAGGGAGGGTTATGAGCTCATAAGGACGTTTATATAGCACTCAAACCCTAAATATTAGGGTTTACATCTGACGCGAGTACGCTTAGCATACACAAGTGTATGCCCAACGTACTAGGGTGCGCCTAGTACGATTAGCATACCTTATGTACACTTAACGTACTAGCCTTGTTCTCAAAGTTGCAACTTTAGTCCTTAGGCTCCTCATAGGGCGATTTTTCTAACCCATGGACTACAAATGACAAAATAATAATAGAAGAGAGGATTCGGAAATACCTGCAAAATATCAGGATGTTACACATCAAGCATACAAACATTCCTCGAGCTTTCCCCGACATCGGATCGAATTCTGGAAACATATAACCTATATCGGGCTAACCCCGACATCGGACCTTAGTCTGGCATACACTAACATACATAAATGGGCCGACATTGGTGCCTTCGTCCCGTTCCTACTGGAGCAAAACTCAATTCACAAAGCTGGCTACTGAATCTCTTGGTAAGGAAATCTCTATCGGCTGCTTCTACGACTCCCCAACTAACATCATCATAGTAACACTTAGTCAAAATCCAATAATCCTTCTTAGGGTAAAATGACCACTTTACCGTTGGTCAAAGTCAACGTACTAGGTTGACCCAACTCGTCGAGTTGACTCATCAACTCGTCGAGTTCTATAAATCAGGAATCTCTGAAATCGCGATCCAACTCGTCGAGTCACCCTCATGACTCGTCGAGTTCCCATGATACTCGTAGTCGTGATAAAGCAAGTTAACTCGTCGAGTCCCTCCTCGGACTTGTCAAGTTCCACCGGGTACAGAATCGGGACAAATCGACTCAACTCATCGAGTTCCTCTATGGACTCGGTGAGTTCCTTAGTCTGTTTGGGCCATCTTAATGGATTAAGCCCATACTCTTCAGATCTAAGCTTTATATTTCTCATATACACTGAAAATGTCCTTTTAAGGGTAAAGTTTCCAACTTTACCCATTAATACCTTTACTTAATGGGTTTAGCTCAAACCCTAACTCTTTAGGACCTAGATCTTGGTCCATAAGCCATCTATACTCCAAACTAAATCATACAAACAGACATCTAGACCTTAAACACTACATGAACACGTAAAGCTTCCACCTTTCACTCAATGCATGGCCTTTTGGAGCTTAAAAGGCCAAAATGGCATCCTATGGCTTGCATGGGGCTTTAATGGTCATAAAGTTTTCACCTTTATGCCATGAAAGCCATCCATGATTCCAGATCTAATGGTTCAGTCACTTTGGATGTCCAAATCCCAAAGGTCAAGCTTCTTGAACCAAAAACCCAATAAGATGACGATAAAGAGATCTAAGAAGCTACCAAGAAAGTTTGAGACTTGCTTACCAGAAAATGATGAGGAAGAAATGTAGTCCCTAGATCTACTATCTTATTCTTGAATCCCCAAGCTTCTCCTTCCTTCACAAGCTTCAAAACACACAAAGTTTCACTCACAATTGGTTCACAAGCTCACAATTGCATTAGGGTTTTGTGAATATAGGGTTTGGGACTTGGAGGCTGGAAATGAGGCCAACAAGTGGGGATTAGGATGCTTAAATAGGATACGAAACCAAAAAATTATGGTTTCATCCTAGCATACCTACTCGTCGAGTTAGGGGTTCTCAACTCGTCGAGCAGGTTATTTGAAATCCCGTGTCTCTTTTGATCTCTACTCGACAAGTTTGGGGCTCCCAACTCATCAAGTTGCTCTACAAAAATGAATAAATTATAATTTAAATGCATACCAGGATCTAAGCGTTACAACAGAGGCCATTGGCCTTCACAACAAGAGAAAATGTAGTCTTCACGACTGTTTTGACTTGAGACCACGACGACGTGGCAGAAGCTCGGCCATGACATGTTGGCCTTTTGGGAGACTTTTTGACTGTTGTCTTTGACTTTGACCATGAACTTTTGACCAAGTTTGACTTTAGGTCAATTTGAGGGTTTTAGGCTATAGTTTAAAAATTGGTCCCTCATTGTTGTATAGGTGACTTGTAGTGACGATTATTAGATCTGTGATTAGTGTTGTTGTTTGCTAGGCTGTAAGGTGAGTTTTATCACTATGCTTTGTACTGCAATATGTGTCCTTGTGTGTAGGATGTTATACTATAGTGGTCTATTAGACTGGTAGATTTGTTATGGTTACATATGCTTGCCTGTTATTGTTTTGGACATAGTGTGTTTGGGTTGAGACTATAATGCTTTGTGTTGTAGGCCAACATACCCAAGAGCAATCCAGTCTTAAGCTATAGAATCAGGGGGTCCAATCTTTGTGACTGTGGGCACAGGGACAATCCAGTTTTTGTGTTGTATGCCCGATGTGTTGCAATGTATATGTATTTCTATGTGGGTTTTAGGCTATAGTTTAAAAATTGGTCCCTCATTGTTGTATAGGTGACTTGTAGTGACGATTATTAGATCTGTGATTAGTGTTGTTGTTTGCTAGGCTGCAAGGTGAGTTTTCTCACTATGCTTTGTACTGCAATATGTGTCCTTGTGTGTAGGATGTTATACTATAGTGGTCTATTAGACTGGTAGATTTGTTATGGTTACATATGCTTGCCTGTTATTGTTTTGGACATAGTGTGTTTGGGTTGAGACTATAATGCTTTGTGTTGTAGGCCAACATACCCAAGAGCAATCCAGTCTTAAGCTATAGAATCAGGGGGTCCAATCTTTGTGACTGTGGGCACAGGGACAATCCAGTCTTTGTGTTGTATGCCCGATGTGTTGCAATGTATATGTATTTCTATGTGGGGTATTTTTGGGAAACTTAGTAAGCTTTGGCATACAGTTGTGGATTTAAATATTTTCAGATACTTCAGATGACTGGGTCAAAGCGAATGCATGATCGTACACATCCTTCTGCTGATTTATGTTTTGAGAGATGATTTTGATGCTCTGATATCTATGGTTTTCTTTCAAAACATTGTTTAATCATTTGTGGATTCTATGAAAATGTCTTTGAAAGGAAAAAAATTGTCATGGTTTTTGGATGTTACATTTATAATTGTATGTTATCACAAATTATTATTAGTAATTTGTTGAAAGTAATATGTATAGGAACTAATTCTTACACAACAATTGTTTTCCATACACAACAATTTGTGCATTAAAGTATTGTATTGTACAATTCCATAAAAAATGAATTTTTGTGTATGGATAAAAAATTGTTATGTACGAATCACTTCCCAATAAGTATTTTTGAAGTTATCATTCAGACTTGTTTTGTTAAAAACTAGGTGCGGGACCCAACGTATTGCATGAGTTTATTTATAATAAAAGTGAGAGTATTTAATTGTTAAAACTAGAGTGTTTTTTCTCTTTTAAATTTAAACAAGCTCCAAACTTTATGATTGTATGATGTAGATATTGCCATGCTAGCTTTATGGAACTATTTCTTGTCCTAAAAGTCCCAAGTTGGTGCATGTTATGATTTGAATGAGATAAGTTGTCCTTTCAAAACCTAGAAGGGGTCCTATGTGATAAAAATTATGTCCCAATGGCTGAAAGTGTCCCATGCATGTAGTAGAATGGTCTTAATGGGTTAAGACCATGTATTAGGAACATTTTGGGCTTCCAAAGTCTTAAAGTTCAAGACTTTATGGTTCTAAGGCACTTTTGGTCGAGGTATCTAGAGTTTGGGCTTAAGTGCTTAAGCCATTAAACACTTATTAGGGTTTTGGCAAAACCTCACGTACACCCTGCGTAAATTCTGTACGCACAGCGTACTGAGTCAACCACCTCGATGGTGTTCAACGCAAAATGGAAGTACGCCCGCGTACGCCCTCTGTTGGAGTCTTCTTTGGGCCAGTTTGACATAAGCCTTGCTAGACTTTTTGAATAATTTTGTTCTAGGCCATTTTTGGATTTGGATCTTAAAATAAGGCCTACTTTGGGAGTCGGGCACAATTGGGAAATTAGGTCGATAATGGGCCTTAAGTATATGGACTTCTCGACAGTGGATCTGATAATTGGGCCTTGGCCCAATTTAGAGAAAAGGCAATATGGACTATGTGGACCTATAGTCAAGATTGATATCCCATGTATTGACTTAGTAATTAATTATTTTGGATAGTTCGGAATTTTCGGTGAGACAGCGATCGAAGACTTTCAGTCCAGTTCAACACTACTTGCGAGGTAAGTTGTCCTCACTATACTAACAGGGTCGAAGGCACCAATGTCGGCCCTTTCGGATTTGTATCTAGGTTTA